CAGCTTAGAGTCCAGTTCAAAAGCACTGACGCAGAGCAGTCATGCCCAATGGGTGGCTTTCTTAGCCAGGCCACTGCCTCAGGCCAATATTCAGCGCTAAAGACCCCAAAGGTGTATTTACATGTTATTTGCTGTGGGATGCTTTGGGGCAGAGGATTTCTTTGTGAAGCTGTATCAGGGCTGGACAGGAGAAAATGGGGAAGGAGTAGCTCAAACAGATGGTCACAGAGCAGATGGGGAGGTTTGTGGCAAAAACCTGAAACAAGCAAAAGCTGTGGATGGAAGCAAAAAATCCTGTGATACAACTGTTTGTCTATCACCAAATCATGTGGGATAACCATTCCCCCTGCTGTAAGGCAGGGTTGGTTTCCTCACAGGCTCAAACCATAGTTGACAATAAACACTATATATTAATGAGGTCCCACTTCACACAAGGTCTACTGCAGGGATCCTTAAAACTAAGGCCCGAGGGCCAGATACGGCTCTCCAAGGTCATTTACCTGGCCCTCGCTCAGGGTCAACCTAAGTCAGAAACAACTTAAAGCATACAACAAGAGCAGCTTCAACAGAAATTTCAACAATTTCAACAGAAAGGAGGAAACCATGAAAACGAACATAATCTGGCTACCAATATTAAAAAATTCTAAAATTACAACAGCACAACAACAGAGAGGAAACAAACAAGGACATCTAATCACCTCTCAACAAAAGTTTGCTCCAGGCACAGTCAGGCCATTGTATGCTAATCAAGGTGGTCAGCTGAAACATTCACACCTAGCTCCAGCAGACAAGAGTTCTTTGCCCCACCCCGATCATTCCATATAAATCCATTTTCCTAGTTCCAACAGACCTCACTACCTCTGAGGATGCTTGCCATAGATGCAGGTGAAATGTCAGGAGAGAATGCCTCCAGAATAGGGGTCCTCAAACTAAGACCCAGGGGCCGGGTGCGGCCCTCCAAGGTAATTTACCCGGCCCTTGCTCAGGGTCAACCTAAGTCTGAAATGACTTGAAAGCATGCAGCAACAACAACAACAACAACACTATCTCATCAGCCAAAAGCAGGCCCGCACTTCCTATTGAAGTTTATATTTGTTAAAATTGTTCTTCATTTTAATTATTGTATTGTTTTTAAGTGTTTTTTGCACTACAAATAAGATATGTGCAGTGTGCATAGGAATTCGTTCATTTTTTTCCCAATTATAATCCGGCCCTCCAACAGTTTGAGGAACTGTGACCTCGCCCTCTGTTTAAAAAGTGTGAGGACCCCTGCTCTAGAACATGGCCATATAGCCCGAAAAAACCTACAACAACCCAATAATCGTATCTCATCAGCCAAAAGAAGGCTCACACCTCCCATTGAAATACTAATAAGTTTATATTTGTTAAAATTGTCCATTTTAATTATTGTATTGTTTCAAAGTGTTTTTGCACTACAAATAAGATATGTTCAGTGTTCATAGGAATTCATTTATTTATTTATTTCAAATTATAATCCGCTCCTCCAATAGTTTGAGGGACTGTGACCTGGCCCTTTGTTTAAAAAGTTTGAGGACACCTGGTCTACGGGATCCACTATTTGTCCAGCAACGTTAGTAACTTGCAGTATCACACCTCAGAGTTACCACTTTCTTTACAAACACTTTTGGCAAATGTTTTGGGATTATGACACTGGATGAATTCAAGTAAACTACTATAGCTTTAGCCTTCAGCCAAAGCAATTTATAGCTCAACAGTGAGAGACAGAAGGTAGCTCCCCATAGCTGTGGTTTCAAATGTAATTAAGAACTTCTTTTCCTGACAACCGCATCTAAATCATTGCTGAGTCCCCATCCTGCAAAAAAAACAATGTAAGCAGCTTTGCTTTGTTCAAAATCTGCTCAAAGAAAACGAGGAGGCCAATTTTCTTACAGACACAAACAGCTTCCCTTTTCAGCCATGTGCTAAAAGCAGCAGCTCATCCCTTAGAGAAATAGCCTTTGTTTTGGGGCTTGATAGCACGTGTGCTCTGATTTAAGCACATAAGCCTCTTTATGGCATTTATCTGAGTAGGAAGAAAAGGAAAAGTTACCAGGGTTTTACCAGTGATGAGTGAACTCTACTGAGGTGAGGATGGAGGTCTTTGACTCAAGAAGCTAGAAAATAAGGGTTGCATTTAAATGCATTTACAAAATAAAATAAAGATCAAATGTTTGGACTGCTATTAACTGCTTCATACTGTTAATATTTAAATGCTCAAGAAAAAGATAAATTATGGGGACACAACAAGCCACCTTGAGAAGGGAAGAAAGGAAGAATAAAAACAAACAGACAGACAAAACTGAACTGAACCACCTTATACTGCACAACTGTCTACTCGAGCCGTTGTGCAGTATAATCAATGGCTCTCTTGAACAGGGTTTTTTTTCCGGACAACCTAAAAGAGGCAAGGGTTCGTCCCTTGTTAAAGAAACCTAGCTTGGATCCTATGACCCTTGCCAATTACCGTCCTGTTTCTAATCTGCCATTCTTAGGTAAGGTGATAGAGCGGGTTATACTGGGACAATTGCAACAATTCCTGGATGACACAGCTGGCCTGGACCCTTTCCAGTCAGGTTTTCGCCCTGGCTATGGGACGGAGATAGTCCTGCTTGCCATTACGGATGAACTCCGTTGCCAGTCTGACAACGGTGGATCCGCGCTACTGGTACTTCTCGACCTTACCGCAGCGTTTGACACCGTCGACTACGATCTAATGATTCACCGTCTTGCCATGTCCAGGGTTCGCGGTCAGGCCCTTAATTGGTTTAATTCATTTCTCTGGAACCGGAGTCAACGCGTGGAGTACATGGATCAAGTCTCCGATAGATCCCCCCTCCTATGTGGGGTTCCCCAAGGTGCAATTCTCTCTCCTCTTCTCTTCAACATCTACGTTAGACCCCTTGATAGTTTGGCTCGGAGTTTCGGCCTGGATTGCTACCAATATGCGGACGATACCCAACTCCTTCTGCGCCTGGAGCACCGTCAATTCCAGTCAATTTCACCCTATGTCTGGAAGCTCTGTCGAACTGGTTACATGCTAGCAGACTGAAGGTGAACCCGGCGAAAACTGAGATTCTCTGGCATGGCCGCCCGGCAGGTCTGGCTCATCCGTTACCCATCTTCGATGGTCCCGCCCTATCTCCATCGACCACTGTTAGGAGCTTAGATGTCGTCCTGGATTTGCAGCTGACAATGGAAGCTCATGTCACTGCTGCCAGCAAACAGGCCTTTTTCCATCTATGACAAGCGAGGCAGCTGGCACCCTACCTATCTGACGAGGCTCTGGCAACTGTCATCCATGCCACGGTCACGTCTAGGCTGGACTATTGCAACACCTTGCATGTTGGCCTTCCGATGTCTACGACCCAAAAGCTCCGTATTGTTCAGAATGCGGCAGCCAGGTTACTCACAAGAACGCCCATGAAATGCCATATAACATCAGTGCTGCAACATTTACATTGGCTTCCAACTGAGTACCGTGGCCTGTATAAGATGTTAGTTCTGACCTTTAAAACTCTTTACGGCCAGGGTCCATCATACCTTAGGGACCACCTCTCCTTCTCCCATCATCAGAGGTCGCAACGACCAGCCCAACGTGACTTACTCTATATACCGGGTCCTAGAGAAGTGCACTTGGAAAGGACCAGACACAGGGCTTTTTCTATTTCTGCTCCTGCCTTATGGAATTCCTTGCCGCCCTATCTGAGAGCCATGCGTGACTTAGGACCTTTTACTCTAGCACTTAAGACCTGGCTTTTTACTAGAGCATTAGATCTCTGTTAATTTTTAAATGCTGTATGTATGTATTTTATCTTTTACAATTTAGCTGTAAATCGCCTAGAGCATTCTCGGATGGAGGGCGATTAATAAGTAATTAAATATGATGATGATGATGATGATGATGATGATGATGATGATGAAACGGCTCTACAGGCCAATGAATACTCCGCCTCAGACATCAGAACAGCTGCAAGACCGAGAACAAGCTACGAGAGTTAAGACAAAGATCCACCTCACAACCTCTGAGGATGTTTACCATAGATGCAGGTGAAACGTCAGGAGAGAATGCCTCTAGAACATGGCCATATAGCCCAAAAAAACCTACGACAACCCCTTGATTATGATCAATTTCATCTTAAAAGGCCAATAGTCCGGCTTGGAAGTGTGTGTGTGTGTGTGTGTGTTACCACTCCTAAAATCTCAGAAGCAAGAACTGTGGATAAACCAAGGCAATGGTTCAAACTGAGACCTCAGCATTCAGAGATTGCCAAATCAGTACTATGCAAAATAGAACAAATGACATAATTTTGAAAATAAAAAATAACATTTGTCTAATATTTAGAAGATATAGACTTCAAATGTTCTTGTTGTAGAATATGGCCTCCCTGGATGCAAAAGTTTAACTTATTTAAGCATGGGGTGTTGACAGCCCTGGCCAATTTTGTCTACCCTTAGAAAAGCAAATTATAGTTACCAACATTGCTTATAGTGCTTCCTTCCCAGCTGAGCCCACAGGAAACTCTGAAGAATATTAGATGCCCAAGAGAACAGCTGCAAAGGGAAATTGATATTGGATGCCCCTCTTTGTTGCCTCCAATTAGCAGGCCCCACTCACTTCTCTGTGCTCCTTTACATCAAGGCTGCCATCGATTGAAAGTGAACAAGCAGCGGAAAAAGAAAAAAAAAGAACATATTAAAGTGGCCTTCGAACGAATTCTCATTGCCGCCAAAGAGGCCCACCTAGTGGCAAGGACTGCTCAAAACAAGGCATCTCAGGGAGGACCTTTCTTCCTGACTCCGTAACTATCTCTTGCTTTACAAATATGAAAACATGAGTATCTTTGTCATTTATGATCATCTTATTTACTGTTTCTTCTGCTGACACCAATAGGACTCTTCTCTTTTCCTAAGAATAAACCCATACACAACTATGGAAACCCTTTCTACGCGAAAGGCTGCTTTGAAAAGCAATGGCCTACCATCAATCAGAGCTTGAGTGGCTTCATCATAAGGGGGCATTTTCTCTAGTTCTTCCTCTTCTGCTGCTGCCTTGACATCAGATGATGGCTTAGGTGGGGGGACCTGTAAAGGCAATCAAAGAGGCAGGCTGTCATTGTCACTTGCAATTCAACCCCCTTTCCATACACATCCAAATGAGAGAAAGAAAGGAGAAAGGAGTGTTGGAAAACTGAGCCTGAGAAACAAAGAGAACAAGATATTGGCGAAGGCTTTCATGGCCGGAATCACTGGGTTGTTGTAGGTTTTTTCGGGCTAAATAATAATAATAATAATAATAATAATAACAACAACAACAACAACACTTTATTTGTACCCCGCTACCATCTCCCCAAGGGACTCGGTGTGGCTTACATGAGGCCGAGCCCAAACACAACAATACAAGCAATAATAACAACAATACAAGAAATTAAAACACATAGACAGTAAGATAAACAACATTATCAATAAAACAACACATAATTGAAAACAGTGGGAAGGCCAAATGTAAAGTTAAAATTGGAGATAATGCTGGGACAGGTGATACTGGTGCTTGTGGAAGGGCATACAAGCAGACTTAAAGAAATGTAAAGTGCTTTGGAGGACAAAAGTGCTATGGGGTCATTATTCCGGGAAGGCACACTGGAACAACCACGTCTTCAAGTTCCTCCTGAAGACTGCCAAAGTTGGAGCCTGTCTGATGTCTTTAGGGAGTGAGTTCCAGAGTCGAGGGGCCACCACCGAAAAGGCCCTCTCTCTCGTCCCCACCAATCGCGCCTGTGATGCTGGTGGGATCATGTGGGTTCGTATACAGAGATGTGGTCACTAAGGTAGGCGGGTCCCAAACCGTTCAGGGCTTTGTAGGTAAGAACCTGCACCTTGAATTGGGTCCGGTAGATGAATGGCAGCCAGTGGAGCTCCTTGAACAGGAGGGATGACCTCTCTCTGTAAGGAGCCCCAGTTAACAACCTGGCTGCCGCCCGTTGGATCATCTGAAATTTCCGAGCCGTTTTCAAGTAGAGTGCATTGCAGTAATCCAGTCTAGAGGTGACTAAGGCGTGGACCACATTGGCCAGATCCGCCTTCCCGAGCTACGGTCGCAGTTGGCGCACAAGTCTTAGTTGTGCAAAGGCCCTCCCGACCACCACCGACGCCTGAGCCTCAAAGTGAAGAATTCAGGAGGACCCCCAAACTGCCATGTTCTAGAGGCATTCTCTCCTGACGTTTCACCTGCATCTATGGCAAGCATCCTCAGGAAAAGTGTTCTTGCCATACATCAAGGGAACCACTGACCACATAGGGAAGCTGATGAGGAAACACAATATACAAACTATCTACAGACCCACCAAGAAAATCCAACAAATGCTACATTCAGCAAAGGACAAGAGGGATCCTCTCACTTCTGCAGGAGTCTACCGTATACCATGCAGCTGTGGACAAGTCTACATAGGGACCACCAAACGCAGCGCCCAAACACGAATCAAGGAACATGAAAGGCACTGCAGACTACTTCAACCAGAGAAGTCAGCCATAGCAGAGCACCTGATGAACCAGCCTGGACACAGCATATTATTTGAGAACACAGAAATGCTGGACCACTCTCACAACCACCATGTCAGTCTACACAGAGAAGCCATTGAAATCCACAAGCATGTGGACAATTTCAACAGAAAGGAGGAAACCATGAAAATGAACAAAATCTGGCTACCAGTATTAAAAACTCTAAAATTACAACAGCAAAACAACAGAGGGGAAACAATCTGGGACATCTAATCACCTCTCAACAAAAGATTGCCCCAGGCACTGCCAGGCCACCACATGCTAATCAAGGTGGTCAGTTGAAACATTCACACCTAGCTCCAGCAGACAAGACTCCTTTGCCCCACCCTGATAATTCCACAGATATATAAACCCATTTTCCTCGTTCCAATAGACCTCCTTACTACCTCTGAGGATGCTTGCCATAGATGCAGGCGAAACGTCAGGAGAAAATGCCTCTAGAACATGGCCATATAGCCTGAAAAAACCTACAACAACCCAGTGATTCCGGCCATGAAAGCCTTCGGGAACAGAAAGAGAACAAGAACTTGGCCATCAGCACCAAGGCAGGAAAACAGCAGGCAAAAACATGTTCTAGAGTTGGTGCGTAATTCATGGCTGATATCAAGGGTCAGTTCAAACGCTACTGTCTCCATATGAACATTCATTACTTGAAAGATATATAGTTGAAACTTTTAAATACTGTTACTCCCACATGGAACAGTGTAAAAAAATGCTGGTGGATGCTTTTATGTAAATATGTGCAGGCTTCATACCACATATTCATTTCCAACATATGGCATTCTCCTGGCAAGATTTGTTCAGAGGAAATTTGCTGTTGTCCTCCATAAGCACTGACTTACTCAAGATTACTCAATCACTGGGTTACTGTGAGTTTCCCGGGGTGTGTGGACACTTTCCAGAAGCATTCTCTCCTGATGCTTCACCCACATCTATGGCAGGCAACCTCAGAGGTTGTGAGGTCTGTTGGAAACTAGGCAAGCGAGGTTTATATATCTGTTTATATGTGCATGTGTGTGTTGTTTGTATATGTGTGCAGGCCTAGGCCTACTTGGGCCCTCCAGTCATTTTAGACTTCAGTTCCCACTATTCCTAACAGCCAGAACAAGCATGGCTCTTAGGAATTGTGGGACTTGAAGTCCAAAATACCTGGAGGGCCCAAGTAGGCCCAGACCTTGAGCATGAGATTTGTTACTGAACCCTGTGTCTCTTTCGAGGCCTGTGCAGCCTCCTCTTGGCATGGCTCCTCTTCCCTCCCTCTCTTCCTTCCCTTTCGCCTTTTTTGCACATGCGTGGTAAGGTATTTTGTATTTTTTAAGGATTTTAAAGCTATTTTCACAGTTTTGGGTTTTTGTTTTAATTGTTGGTCATACCTTGCGGTATGAGACATTTGGAGGCCAAATTTGATGTCAGTTGGCCCCATTGTTTGCTTGTTTTTAGCTGACTGGCAAAACCTGGGGATTACAACCAGACACAGTGAAGACATCTGCCCTTCTGCTTTGCTACTCTGCTGCTGAGTACGCATGCCTAGTGTGGAACACATCTCACCACGCTAAAACAGTAGATGTGACTCTTAATGAGACATGCCACATTATCACGTGGTGTCTGCGCCCTACACCACTGGAGAAATTACACTGCTTAGCCGGTATTGCACCACCTGACATCCGCCGGGAAGTAGCAGCCAATAGTGAAAGGACCAAGGCAGAGACCTCTCCAGCTCATCCCTTGTTTGGGCATCAGCCAGCACGTCAACGACTTAAATCAAGAAATAGTTTTCTAAGATCTACAGAGACACTCGCTGGAACACCTCAGCAAGCTAGAGTCCAAAAGTGGCAGGCTCAAACCCAGAACCTCAACCAATGGCTGATACCAAATGAGACACCCTCCTGGGCACACAGAGGACTGGGAGACCTGGAAGGCGCTGAACAGACTGTGCTCTGGCACCATGAGATGCAGAGCCAACCTCAAGAAATGGGGCTACAAAGTGGAATCCATGACATGCGAGTGTGGAGAAGAGCAAACCACTGACCACCTGCTGCAATGCACCCTGACCCCGCCACATGCACAATGGAGGACCTTCTTGCGGCAACATCAGAAGCACTCCAAGTAGCCAGATACTGGTCAAAGGACATTTAATCAACTACCAAGCTTCCAAAATCTGTGTCTTTTGTATGTTTTTTCTGTCAAAAATGTACAACTGTTCGGTTGCCTGACACGATAAATAAATAGCCTACTCATGATGCACAGAAGCGTTTTATATATTAAGATTATTATATACCTAAATTTAGTCCAACTTGTCTGATGGAAGCTGGGAAGATATGTGCAACACAATAAAAGCATAATAAGCATAGAGATTTCTCTAACACTTAAACATGAGAGATGCCCAAAGGGTAAACAAGATCAGAGCTAAAGAGCCTCAGTTCTTATCTAGTATTTAACCTTGAACAGACAGCTACATCCCATTGTAGCAAAACCGAAGAACTAGTAGCTTGTTTTTATATGCAAGAGACTTAAGAGATTTATTTGTTTACATTTGATATCCCACTATATCGTAAAATCAGGGCAAAAAATAAGTACCTAATGGAATAAATTGATCGAAATCTATTAAAGGGCTAACAAAAATAACTGCATTCGTGAAACTGGAAAGATTAATGTGTGGGGGAAGGATACCAGAATTTTAGAAGAGAAAAGCCAGCCCTGGTCTCAACATAGAGTGCGCAATAAAGGAAGATAATATTTGAAGGGCCATTCCTATAAGGGAAAAGGCTAAACCCATGCTCGGTGTGGCTTTCATCCAGATGGATAAGTGGAAAGGCACCTTCTGGAACTCACAAGCATATCATTCTATACAGATTTCATATTTGGAAGGAGCAGCTTCTTGTCTAGCTGTGCATGTATGTTGGAACCCACACTGATGGCTAGAGAAAGTCTCTTCTGGAAGCAAAAGACTTCAAATGGAAACATTACAATGAGTATTCTTTTCCTGACACACGGTTATGCATACAGAACTGAAATAGTTGGGATGGGCAAGGAACCAACTGACATATTTTATCTGTACAGTACAGATTAGTACCTTCATCTCTTCATCAATGCTGTCTTCATCAGTCTCTTCCTCTTCATCATCATCGTCTTCATAGTCGTCCTCAGGAGGCAACTGGTCTAACTGGGCATCAGACTGATTATCTGGCTCTTCCTCTGCTGTACCCTTCAACGGAGGCTGTACATCATCCAAAGTCTAGAGAGGGAAGGCTGAGCTTAGTCCAATTCATACCTGCTCATGTTCCCAACTGGCAGCCAGAATCACAGTGCCAATATTATTAGCAGTAATACACAGGCATCAAAGCCAAGAGAATTGTAATTTTATACATTAAGCATTCACTATATGAATATTACTAATTTTGTGTTGATATGAGAGATAGAAGTCTATAGGAAATCCACATCAGAACAACATATTTTATGTGTGGCCAAGACCCAAAAATAACATATAAAACAGCTCTGTACTTAAGCAAAACAATACGTCTGAGAACCACATATGTAGGGCTGATTGGAGTAAATTGTAGGGGTGATAATGAAATATGATGTATATACTCAGCTTGATCAGTTTATCAGTTTTATCATGTCTTATCATATGTATTTACTGTATTATTATAAGTGTCTTATTTTAACTTTCTACGTGGAGTGTGATCAGGTCTTGTCAGGCCTTGTTGTTCTGTTTCTTATTGTGATATGGCCTAAGGGCTAATCAATAAAATTACTACTACTAAATTACTACTATAGGAAACCCCAAGACCACAAAGATCAGGAAAAAATTAATATATCAAGATTCTGTCTTGAAGACTTTGAGTCCCCCGACTTCCCGGGGTAAGAAAAGTGATATACAAGTGAAGTAAAAAAAAAAAGAGTTCAGCAATAATGAACTACCTATATAAATAAAAATGTAATGTTCGTTTGTGATACCATCAGAACTCAAAAACCACTGGGGGAATTGGCACCAAATTTGGACACAATACACCTAACAACCCAATGTATGTTCTCCACTCAAACCCCCCCAAAACACTTCCCCCTGAAGGAGGGAAAAGGGGAGGGAAGGAAGGAAAGAGAAAAGGAGGGAGGGAAAGAAGGAAGGAGGGAAGGAAGGAAGGAGAGAAGGAAGGAAAGAAATAAGTACCAAAGGAAGGAAGAAGAAAAGTAAAAAGGAAAGAAAAAGGGAGGGAAATGCAGGAAAGAAGGTAAAGAAGGAAGGAGAAAAGGAAATAAAAAGTGAAAGAAGGAAGGAAACAGGGAGGGAAGAAAGGAGACAAAGGAAGAAGTAGAGAAAGGGGGAGAAAAGGAAGAAAAGAGAGAAGGAAGGATGAAACCAAAGAGCGAAAGAAGGAATGAAAAAAAGAGAAGGACGAAAGGAGACAAAGGGGAAGAAAAAGGGGGGAAGGAATAGATAGGTACCCCTCTTTCATAATAGTCCAGATATCTACCTCTACTTTGAAAATTCTTGCTATAGACCACAGCAACACGTGGCAGGGCACAGCTAGTATCATATATTTTTCTCTTCATTTCCCCAATAAATTGTTTTCTCTTGGGTATTTTATTTGAATTGCTGTGTTATTTAAAATATGACCTCTTATTAATCTTCCTTTTCTTGAGTGCCACCCAGTTTCAAAAACAAACAAACAAACAAACAGAAAATACCTTTCTAGAACTTCTAAAAATTATACTTTGTATTTTGGCACTTTTCTAGGGCCAGGACACTAGTATGGCAATGTATTTTCCCCTTAAAACATTCACTTTGAGCTGACAACCATTTCATGCAAAACTGAAAATAGTGAAAGTCCGTTCACTTAAAAGTTCAGATTACAGGCAGTCCTGGAGATACAAAAATCCACTTATAAATGACTCATAGTTAAGAACAGGGGTGAGACAACAGGAAGTGAGAGAAATCTACCCTTTGGAAAGGAAATTTGCTCCTGGAAGAGTTATATGGGGGAAATGAAACTTTGTCACTAATCTTTGTCTCCACAACAAGCCAATTTTTTCACATTTTCCATTTATTACAGGGACAGAAAGTAAGGTGAAATCTTCTGAACCGGAGCACAGACAACAAAAAATAAAATAAAAACACCACAGGGGCTAACCTTTCCCTATGCTACCCAAAGCTAAAAAATATCACATATTTGGATGGAGTTACACTTTAAAACTTTCATACAAATTCAACTAAAGAACAAACCTACAAAACTTACTGTATATACTCGAGTATAAGCCTAGTTTTTCAGCCCATTTTAAAGGCTAAAAAAGTCCCCCTCGGCTTATATTCGAGTCAAGGTTATTTATTATTTTACTCTGTTATTCTTATTATTTTTATTACATATCTTATTTTACTCTATTATTATTGTTGTTGTTGTTGTTGTTGTTAGTGTTATTACATTTATTACACTATTATTACTGTTATTATTACATTTCCATTATTTTACTCTATTATTATTGTTGTTGTTGTTATTATTACATTTTTTTTATTTTACTCTATTATTTTTGGAAGGATACATAAGCACATTTACATTGAAGAAGTTTAGAATAATGGTTTAATAAAAGTTGGGTTGTCTTATCTTAAATTACAGTTTTATGTAAATTTTCAAAAACATTTAACCCACTGATGCCTCAATTAACGTAATTGTATTGGCATCTATTTTTATTTTGAAATTTACCAGTAGCTGCTGCATTTCCCACCCTCGGCTTATACTCAAGTCTATATGTTTTCCCAGTTTTTTGTGGTAAAATTAGGTACCTTGGCTTATACTCAAGTATATACGGTACTTTGTTTGTAACTTGGGAACTGCCAATACATGAAAACCTTCCATATCTCTAATTCTGACCACATTGTAGTTGTCAGTGATGCACTGGACAACAAATCCTATATTCCCTAGTCAGCATCACTAATGCTCAAGGAGTGCTACCATTGCCAGACCATGTTTCCAGTCAACCACAATATGCTAACTTCCTGGACACCTGAAAAAATGCAAATTTGTTCCAGGTCTTGGTCCCAGCTGGAAACAAAAAAAAAGTAACTGCTGTACTGCAATGCCTCTCTTTTTGCCAGCTACCCAGATTAACATCAGTCCCTTCAAATTCCCAACACAGATCAAAGGTAAATACAAGAAAAACAAGATGTCTTCACCAACTGTGGGCCCATCTCACAGCCACAGTAGCCATTCAGATGTCTGGCTAATTGGACATAGTCACTTGAGACTGGTAAAACAAAAACAGACTGCACTTAAGATGTCAAAGCAATTGTTTGAAGGGAATAATTGGAGCTATTAGGTGATATGGTCAAAGCAGACGAGACTGACATACTGACCTCTGCCTTGTACTTCTCCTTGATTGCATTCCAAACTGTGTTCTGGAAACTACCCACATCCACCTGCAAAGAGTTGTCCAGCAAGGTCTGAAAAAAAGAGAGTCATATGTTAACTCTTATACAATTCCATATGTTCCAGGACCAAATTGTGCTTCATATTAAGTAAGAGTATTCTGTAAAAATCAGCCAAATCTCTCTCCACTCCTGTAATCACAGTTGATTATTTGAAAGGACAAGAGGAAGTCAAACATGCCAGACTGTACAAGATCATTTGTGTGAAGGACCATGAGAAGAGCCCTGTGGGATGAGGGCTCCTCCAGTCCAGAGGAATCTCGGTGGACAGTAAAAAAGATTTAAAGATGGGCTTAATACTAATCCAGAAACATGTGGAATAAAGACCAAAAAAACTGGGAAACCCTGGCACTTGAGAGCTATAACTGGAGGTCAGCTGCTACCAACAGTGCTGTGGAATTCAAGGAGGCACAAACAGAGGGCGAAAGGGAGAAATATGTCAAGGGAAAGGTGCATCAAGCAAACCTGAAACCAGCAATAACCAGTCAGGTACCTCAATTGAGTCCCTAAGTAGGAGGTAAAGTGAAACAAACTTGACCTCTTTGTATATCTCTTTGTTCCCTGAGAAGCTCGGTATACAAAACTGTGAAATAAATAAATAAATAAATTCCCCACCTGTATGACGGTCTATATTTATGACCCCGTTCCTTTACGAGTCTCTCCCCCACAAACAATCTGCTCCATCCCTATCTCATCCTGATTTTATTGTGTTGCTAGCTATTATTGTTATGTTGTTTTATGCTGTTTTATGCTGTCTTAATTGTTTTTGCTTTGTTTTTAATTGTATTCAGGCTTGGGCCCTATGTAAGCTGCCCTGACTCCCTTTGGGGAGATGGAGGCGGGGTAGAAAAATAAAGTTCTTCTTCTTCTTCTGCTTCCCTACTGTTTGCATCTTCGTATCAGAAACCTACTCTACATAGTTGTCACAGCCAACGGTCGACCAGGGATGGGGCACATACGGTCTTTTGGATGTTGTAGGACCATAGTTCCCATCACTCCTCAACACTGACTATGTTGATATTCCCATACCATCTGGAAAGCCACCTGAGACGAGAAGTGCCATGCACCTGAGCTATAAATCTATTCTCTCCCAACATCTAACTCTGCTGTTCTATAGAGTCAAGCAAGAATGGAATAAGCCTTCTCTTGTCTCACTGCTACAGCCCGGGCATCCCCATGGCAACATCTCTGTAGATGGCCAATTCTCTCACACCAGAAGCAATTGAAGTATGTTCTCATGTAGCTTCTGGCACGATACAAAAAGAAGACCTGCTATAGTGCCTACAAGCCATCAAGAGCTTGAACACATGCTTTGAAGGAGAGGAAATACAATGATGCTGCCACCTCGTGGACACAACAAAAACATTATTATAATCAAAAAAACAATATGAGCTCATCTGTATACCAGCCCCGTTACGTCAACTCCACTGGCTGCTGGTCCATTTCCGAGCACAATTCAAAGTGCTGGTCGACCTATAAAGCCCTATACGACTCCGGCCCTGCTTACTTGTCTGAACTCCCTCTACGTTCCGCCTCGTGGTCTAAGATTTGCCGGGGAGGCCCTGCTCTCAGTCCCACCAGCTTTGCAAACACAGCTGGTGAGGACGAGGGACAGGGACTTCTCGGTGGTGACCCCCCGCCTGTGGAATTCACTCCCCAGCAAAATTAGATCGATGTCCTCCCTCCTTTCTTTCAGAAGAAAACTGAAGACGTGGTTGTGGAAATTGGCTTTTGGCGAATGGATATAACGGCACCTGAACAGTGAATTGGACCAGACGGTTGATATAATGGAAATGCCTTTATGATTGGATAACTAATGTTGTTTTAATGTATTATATTGTATGATTTCATTTTGCTTTCGTAATTGCAATTATTGTGGCATCGAATCGTTGCCATTGTTAGCCGCTCTGAGTCCCCCTGTGGGGGTGAGAAGACAGGGGTAGAAATGCTGTAAATAAATAATAAATAAATCTGTTCTGAAAATCAGCCACAAGGATGCATTCTGATTAATTACATATAGATGTAACCCATCAAAACCTTGATTCTTTTCATCCTCAGTGAAATTTGGCTATGTAACTGTGCTACAAATGAACAGTATGACTAAAAGCAGACTGCTCAAAAGCTTTAAAAATTAGAAAGAGGACTGGAATGAACAGAAAAAAACCTTATGAGCAACTGGGAAAAGAATATGTACACATACAGATGATAATTGCCTTCTTTTTTGGTTAGATCAGACAGCAATGGTGGTTCATTCAAGTGCTGCTCATATGCTTGCTCTTAAGACACTCTGGTTTGTTTACAACTTTGTCACCTCCCGGATTCCAGCTTCCCTCTAAATAGCAAGTACTTCTGATGCTAACTACAAAGAAGAGTAAACCACAAGTCCTTGCAAATGAGAGGCCACTGACCAAGAATGACCCAGCAATGTCAAATGTTCTGAGTTCCTGCTTAAATGAGCATAGCCTTTTCTGAAAGTTACCCATCTTACCTGGGCTTCTGTTTCTGAAAGGATCCCATCACCGTCCGCATCCAGCTCTGGGTGTGTCTGAAGCTCAGCAACAGATACGCTATAGAGAACAAACAAGTAGGGTGCTGGCTAAGCCTTCTACAACATTGTGTACACACAGCCTGACATTGCTATTCCTACAACAACTGCAGTTGGGGTTTCTAAGATTTTCATTTCTCAAACAGAGGAAACAGCTGTTCTTCGTGCATTGAATCTTGCAATAGTATTGTTATCTACAAATATCATGCCTCAAAGAAAGGTTTCTGAATTGAATTTGATTGTTCTTAATTGACGCCAAGGTGACTTCAAGTAACGGTGACCCTATGGATGAGAAACAGCCAAGTCACCAATCCTCAACCACCCAGCTCAGATCCTCAAACTCAGTGATGTGTCTTCCTTGACCAAGTCTCTCCATACAGAAGGCAGTCTTTCTGTGTCTTTTCTAGTGAAATTTCTTGTCATTTCTTTCGCCCCTGCCAGTTTCACAAGCTCGCCTTGTAAGCACAAGGGAGAGAGCTTTTTTCTCTGTGCCCCCCCACCGCGACTCTGGAACTCATTACCTGGAGAAATTAGGAAAGACCCTACCCTAGAAACCTTTAAAAAGAACCTTAAAACCTGGCTCTTCCGCTGCGCCTTTGGTGAGTAGGTATACAAACCCACACTATTGCTTAGCCTCAACGTTCTGTCAATATTTATTTATTTATTTATTTAGAACTTTTATATACAGGTCTTTTCACCTCCAGCGAGGGACTCAGGCCGGTTTACAACAAGGAATTCATACACAATAGTTTAAAAGCATCACATCATTGGAGTACACATCCCGTCCCCGCCTCGTGGGAAAGCTTGATTCCACAACACCCGTTATAATGAGCCCTCCTCCACAAATAATCTGCTTCTTTTTATTTGGCCAAGTTTTTAATTCGTTTTTAATTAGTTTTCTTTTAATCATTACATGTAGCCCGCCCACTGTCACTGTGATTGTGCTTATTGTAATTTTATATTGTTATGTATTCACATGTTTTATGTAATTATGATATTGTTGTTTATTGTTCGTGTTTCGGTTTGCGTTTTCGGTTTTACTCTGTTGTAATTTGTTGTTTGGGCTTGGCCTCATGTTTGGGCTTGGCCTCCCCATCGAGGAGATAGTGGCAGGGTATAAATAATAATTATTATTATTATTTGTCCGAAGTATGACAGCTTCAGTACGTTCATTCTGGTCTCTAAAGAGAGTTCAGGTTCAATTTGCTGTAAGATCCATTTATGTCTTTTTAGCAGTCTATGGAATCCAAAGAACTCTTCTCAAGCACTATATTCCAAATGAGTTGAAAGGAACATATAATCGAAGCACTCCCAACAGATAACTCTCCAGCTCTACTTGAGTGGGTGGCAACATATATTCCTGTAAGGAAAAATGTCCTCAGGCAATATGTCCTCAGAATGTACTTTACTATTGGATTAGGTTGGACTGCAGGAACCCCGTTGGCGCAGTGGGTTAAACCCCTGTGCCGGCAGGACTGAAGACCGACAAGTCGCAGGTTTGAATCCGGGGAGAGGCAGATGAGCTCCCTCTATCAGCTCCAGCTCCTCACGCGGGGACATGAGAGAAGCCTCCCACAAGGATGATAAAAAAAAAACATCAAATCATGCGGGCGTCCCCTGGGCAACATCCTTGCAGACGGCCAATTCTCTCACACCAGAAGCAACTTGCGGTTTCTCAAGTTGCTCCTGACACGACAAAAAAAAAAGGTTGGACTGCGCTCCCTCCTTTCTTTTAAAACCCTATACCAGATACATCCTACTTTGTCCATGCCCAGCGTTTATTTTTTAAATTTTAAATTATTACATTTGGCCCGGCAATAGGTTTTGAAATCCTTGTGTGTTATTGTTTATATGTGATTTATATTAATTGTACTGTATTTATTGTTTTTGTTTACTTTTTGTTTTATCGATGTGCTGTTGGGCTTGGCCTCATGTAAGCCGCTCCGAGTCCCTTGGGGAGATGGTGGCAGGGTATAAATAAAGTTTTATTATTATTTATTATTGTTCCTCAAATAAATATGAGGAATGTTAAAATACAGGCACCAAAATTACAGCTTATGGATCATTATTGGCCCTGCATTATGCTTTGCCCACAGTGACTGGAACAGTCAATCATTGAGAGGGTAATCTAATAAACTCACATGCCATCTCCATCATCATCCAGCTCCATGAAAGCTTCTTCTGCTTTGGCTTGATCTCTTGCTGCTCTTTCAGCTTCTTTCTGTTCTGTTGCAAAGTAGACAGATCACAAATCTCTCTTGTTAAAAGAAACTAGAACATGCCCATATCTGCTGTCCACTCAAATACCTAAACAGTAGCATTTTTCATTTCTCTGCCAATCCAAAACCCTGTCCTAAAAGCTTGGACCTCAAAGGAACAACTAAAGAGAGAAAATCAAAACATGCACAAGCAGCTAGTGACCTGAAGACTGCTTCTCCGATTCTTTTGATATTCAAGATTGGCCAGGAGCACACAAAACACTTTCATGCACTATGCACACACACCCCACACCCCAAATGGAGAGCCATGCTCAACATTTTGTTCATCTAAGTGCATATCCATGCTTATCCCAAACTTACAGAAGTCAAAGTTGAACAGGTATTGGGCCACCAAAATTATTTTACAGCAGCTTAATAGATGCATGACCTTGTTTCCTGAAGCCCTGCTAAATATTTTCGGCCACTGCCATATGCTATTGCTGTTTGTTTCAGTTTCTAATGAACCGCATCAATGCAATGGGAGACTTTTCAAATCCATCTCTAGGTGCAATATTCTTTCTCTTGTTGTGTTGGGCTTCACTGTGTTGATTTTGTAACATGGTAAATGCCCTGAACACCTGCAATAAATGGATCCCTCTTGATACTGACAAAGCTGGATCTATTTAGTCAAGTACAGGGTGCAGCAGCATAACTTCCTTTTTTAAAATGCGCGCCATTCAGTCGGTCAAAGACGTAGCACTAGTGGTCTCGTTCGAGAGGCAGGAGTATAAAGTTTTGTCCTGACACAGTTCAGTCGCCATCATGCGTTGGAACAGTGAAGAGCGTGCTTTTGCCATTGAGGCCTACTTTTCGAGTGGATTTGAAGTGGCCAGCCTGCTCTCCAGATTTGGCCCCTTGTGATTTTTTTTCTATGGGGTTTTTTGAAATCCCGTGTTTATGTGAACTGTCCAAGGACCCTACAAGATTTGAAGACCAACATCCAGGAAGAAATTGCCAACATAACGCCTGCTATGCTGGCAAGAGTCATGACAAATGCCAGAAATCGGTTTACTCAGTGTATGGAGAATGGGGGACATCACCTACCTAATTTGATCTTCAAAACTACGTAAAACAAAACTTTAGGTATGCGCCTACATTATAAAAAAAATCTGATTCATACAATGGGTTTTATTAAGTTTGAAAAAAGGAAGTTATGCTGCCTCACCCTGTACAATAATGGTTACAGAGATACTGTCAGGAAGTCACATCAGGACATGAAGGTAAGTACCTCCTGTCACTACTCCTTGTTCCCTTCCCTGTCAAAAGTAATTGCTAATTTGCCTTAAATGCAGGCCTTCCAAATCTATCATAGCTATAGCCACTGGAAGATTATCTTCCTGATCTCCTTTAAAGCCATCAAGCTCTGTGGCCATCACATTTTGCGGCATGCAGTGTGTTCTGCAAGTTAGGTTCAAAATACACATGTGCACATATAGGCTCATATGACTTGGGAGAAAGTAAGAGTAAGGAGGAAACTCCCTTTCTCTTAAGCCTGAGATTTACTAGATCAGTGGTTCCCAACCTTTTGTCCTTCAGATGGACTTCAGCTCCAACATAATAGCTGGTAAGCTGGCTGGGACTTTTGGGAGTTGAAGTCCAAAATACCTGGAGGACCAAAGGTGGGGAAAGTAAGGTTGCTTACCTGTAACCATGTTCCTTCGAGTGGTCAACTGTGAAATTCACACCTGTGGTATTTCCTGCATCCACGCAGCTGATTTGTTTCCTTATTGAAAAGCTTTTGCCAAATCAGGGACTCCAGCCTTGCCCATCCACTCCAGTCATAAAGCCAGGCAGCGGGGCTTGAGGCCTTAGTTCTGTACCGCAAAAGACAGTCGGAGATAGAAGCCATGATGGAGTGCGGTGAGGATGGGCGGGTTGTATGAATTTCACAGTTGACCACTTGAAGAAACATGGTTACAGGTAAGCAACCTTACTTTCTTCAGCGTGGTCACTGTGAAATCCACAAGTGTAGCAAACAAGCGAGCAGTCCCATGGATGGTGGGCGTCATGCTAGTGCAGAAAAAAGAATTGCTCTCCCAAAAGCTGCATGTTTTTTGGCGGCCAAGTCCAGTTTGTAATGGGAGACAAATGTGTGCAGTGTCAACCAAATGGCCACCCGACAAATGTCATTCAGTGGTACACTGTGCAAAAATGCCATAGAGGCTGCCACTGCTCGAGTGGAATGAGAATGGATCTGAACAGGTAAGTCCAGTCCCGCCATCTGATATGCTAGCCAAATAGCTGGAACCATCCAGGCTGCCAATCTCTGGGTAAAAACCGGAAGGCCCACAGAGTCCTTGTGGTACTTGACAAAAAGTCTTAGTGACTTCTGTAATGCAGCTGTGTGGTGGACATAGGGCTCTCCGCACATCAAGAAGGTGTAAAGACTGCTCCAGAGGCTTTCGCGGACAAAAGGAACTAAGGCCTCAAGCCCCACTGCCTGGCTTTATTAATGGAGTGGATGGGTGGGGCTGCAGTCCCTGATTTGGCAAAAGCTTTTCAATAAGGATCCAAATCAGCTGCGTGCACGCAGGAAATACCACAGGTGTTGATTTCACAGTGACCATGCTGTAGAACCACTGTACTAGAACTATGAGGACCAGAGATCATGGAGGCAGGGCCCTGCAGTTAGCAAAGCAATCAGTATCAGCCCTATAGGCACACAAGATTAACTTGCCTCCAAACAACCATGGTTTTGGGCAGCACCTGTTTGCAACAAAACCGTTTTAAATAGCCATGAGAATGGTCAAGGGCAAGGAAAAGTCATTCGCTCAGGAACATTCTCCTGTAGGACAGAAGAAAAGAAAGAGTTGGGATGCTATCTGCCATCACTGCTCAACAATCAGCTTTTGATGGGACTTCGTCATTTCAGAATTTGAAGACTAGGTTGTTGTAGGTTTTTTTGGGCTATATGGCCATGTTCTAGAGGCATTCTCTCCTGACGTTTTGCCTGCATCTATGGCAAACATCCTCAGAGGTGTGAGGTCTGACCTCACAACCTCTGAGGATGTTTGCCATAGATTGAGGCGAAACGTCAGGACAGAATGTCTCTAGAACATGGCCATATAGCCCAAAAAAACCTACAACAACCCAGTGATTCTGGCCATAAAAGCCTTCGACAATAATTTGAAGACTATTGTTTTCCCCAGATTGCTATACTGTCCATGATGTTTCTCCAGCATACCACAAGCTATAGTTCTGATTTTAAAAACATTCCTTACATACCATTTTTTTTAAAAAAAGGAGACTGCTGGCTGGCAATCAGCAATGAAGCTCCAAATACAGTTAATCCTTTCATATAGTAGTGTACTGACCTTCCCAGGCTTTCTGGTGGATGTCTTTGGCCTCCTTTTCTGGCTTTTCAGCAGCTTCTTTTTGTGCCCTGAGAGTATCCACTTGCTCCTCTACAGATTTCTTACCCTCTTGTAATTCAACCAGTTTTTTCTACAAAAAAAAAAAAGAAAGAAAGAAAGAAAAGAAAAAAAGAAAGGAAATTAGTGACAGTGCACAAGACTTCTAATAAGGCCATCACAAGCAACTGGTTGTTTCTTGCTTCGATACCAGAGTGATCAATTTGTATAATATTTATGAGAAAAAATGGGTCAAGAATGCTTATAAATCAAGTCCTGTTCAGCACCTGCATAAACAGAACTGCAGTTTTAAATTCAAATATCTATTTATCTATCTCAACAGGCAACATAAGATGAGAATCATTGCAACAATAGCAGAAAAGCCTATGAGAAGGCTCAGATGTTCATGGTAAAAATGTATGCAGTATTCTCAGATCTTTTTAGTACCCATTTCCCTTGCAGGATTTACATTTCCCATCCTAAAGGCGAGCCTGTATATTTGCTTACTTGGGTATCGCAAAGTCTACCACAGACAAGGAAATCACTCGGACACAGCCTTTTCAAAAAGTATTACACCACCAACAAGCCACCCCTTTTGGGAAATGTGAATCATAGAATCCTAGAATCAAAGAGTTGGAAGAGACCTCATGGGCCATCCAATCCAACCCCATGCCAAGAAGCAGGAATATTGCATTCAAATCACCCCTGACAGATGGCCATCCAGCCTCTGTTTAAAAGCTTCCAAAGAAAGAGCCTCCACCACACTCCGGGGCAGAGAGTTCCACTGCTGAACGGCTCTCACAGTCAGGAAGTTCTTCCTCATGTTCAGATGGAATCTCCTCTCTTGTAGTTTGAAGCCATTGTTTCACGTCCTAGTCTCCAAGGAAGCAGAAAACAAGCTTGCTCCCTCCTCCCTGTGACTTCCTCTCACATATTTATACATGGCTATCATATCTCCCCTCAGCCTTCTCTTCTTCAGGCTAAACATGCCCAGCTCCTTAAGCCGCTCCATAACCATTTGGGAAATCGTATTCAAAACCTTTTGGGAAAACTACTGGTCACAGGAAAGGAGTGACCTTGTTAGAAGACACAATCTTTTTGGAAAAATGGAATACACCAGCATTCATGCAAAGCAACTAGATCTCTCAGCGGTTAAACTGATGGTCCTAGCTATGTCTTTGAACTACTAGGGACAAAGACATGCCAATGCACAAAAATATACATATTCAGAAGAGTTACAGAAGTGTTCCTTGAAGTTGCCCAAAAACATCTACTCTTCCTTAAAATATATTTGCCTTTATTTCATGCTCTCAAGAGACAAAATAAACAGTCTTCTTTAAGGGTAACAGAGTTGGTTTACTTACAAAACTTCATGTATATAGCATACAGGTACTTTGCTTATGAATCCAGTTACAATAGGATTTTAAGTAGTTTCTCTGTGTAGGTAACACAGGACATCTTTCTTAGAAACAATAGTCTATAGTCCAATGCATCTCTCTGTCTTGAGAGTCTAATACATCTCTAAGCATACTGTTCCTGCTGGAGTCTGAAAGCAAACTTCTCTATAAGCATCTCAAAGGAAACTGTTCTTACTGAAGTCTACAGACAGGCCTTTGATCTCTGATATTGTTGTTTTTAAATTGTTTTAAAATTGTGTTAGATTTTAGCCTGTTCTTGTAAAGCGCTCCGAGCCCCAGGATAAATAAAATAAATTTATTTATTTAAATAAATAAATAAAGACATCACTTGCTTCTCCTATAATAATAATAATAATAATAATAATAATAATAATAATAATACTTTATTTATACCCCGCCACCATCTCTCCAAGGGACTTGGAGCAGCTTACATGAGGCCAAGCCCAACAACACATCAATAAAAACAAAAACCATAAGCAAAATAAACAATACAATTAATATAACTCACACATAGACAAAACACACAATGATTTAAAAACCTATGGCTGGGCCAGATGTAGTAGTTAAAACTTTAAAAATAAATGCTGGTCATGAACAGAGGATGTGTGCAGAAGTCATTGATATTATGTTTATGTTTAACTGTTAGAGTATATATTTGTGTTTGTAACAGTAGCTAAAACTGGAGTCCTCGGGTTTGAATCCACAGTGAACATTGCCAAGGAGACGAGGCAGGCTAGCTCAGGAGAGTGAGAAGTGGGCGGAGCCAAGCAGGAAAAAGTTTGGTGCGTTTTTAAAAAAAGGCCAGTGTGTGGGAGAGTGGAGGCTTGAAAAGCCTGGGAGAGAGGTGTGTGAGAGTAGCTGGAGGTTTTTCAGTCTAGGAGGGCTGAAGAGAGAAACCTAGCCAGTTTCTTTAGTCAAAGAAGACTAAAGGAAGCCTGTTAAGATCCCTAGTCAAGGAAAGACTAGAGATCAGAAATTTGATCAAGGAAAGATCAAACTGGAAGGCTATTTATAGTAGGAAACATTGTTTACTAAAGAGCTTCACCTCAGTAAAAGTTAGCCACGAGCTGTGTTATCTGTAAGAGTGGACTGTATTAAAACCAAGTGATATTCAAAGTTCTATAAGTTATTTAACAGCCTGCAACCGTATGCTTTGTACACAATAAACTTGTTATTTTTTGTTGAAAACCGTCTCATCTCAGCTAATCTGCGTCTGTAGAGCCAGATCTCATCGGTGGTACCTCAAATACCTCATGTTGGTGGCAGTTACCTTAATTTACAACTAATAATTGGCCTCCTCTATAATATATTCTTCTACACAATTGAGGCCTGAGATAAATTCCCTCCATAATCATCCACATCTGCACAATTGGTTTGCATCCTGTACAATTGGTGGCAGCGGTGGGATTAAAAAGTGCCTGAGGTAAAATACCTCCATTGTTAGGCCCTGCCGTTGCCAACCTCAGCAACGCACCTTTTCACAGGATGTATCTAGTAGGAGGGTTTTAAACCAAAAGTAGAGAGGAACCCAACGGGTAATTAAAGTGTCTCTAAGTGTCTAATGGCTTCTACTGATCTAAAATGGAATCTGCATCCTGAATATGCCCAATTCAAATCACATGGTCTGCAGTCCCTCTCACAACAAAGAGGTTAGGTAAAATTACAAACCAATAATAATAATAATAATAATAATAATTATTATTATTATTATTATAATTTTATTTTTGTATCCCGCCACCATCTCCCCAAAGGGACTTGGGACAGCTTACATAAGGACAATCCCAGTCAAACAGAGATTAAAATATAACACAATAATTTTTCTTACAAATACGAACACCATAAAACAAAACTATCAACAAACAACCAGTGCCATAACAAAGTGGCAATATACTGGGGCAAGGCAGGAGCTTGTGAAATACAATTGCAGGGACAGGGCTGGTGGAAAAGTGCAGGAGAGAAGTTTGGGCCAGAAGGGCCAAATCAATTAAGGTAATACAATTATAGGGCAGGGACAATGGTAAAGTGCAAGAGGATGATACTGAGTTACGGCTGGAGGGACCAGAAGAACCTAGTGAACTGATTAATCAAAAGCACAGTGGAATATCCATGCTTTTAGTTCTTTACAGAAAGTGGACAGGGTGGGCTCCAATCTAATTCCCTGAGGGAGAAAATTCCAGAGCCGGGGGGGGGCTCCAGCCACGCTTGTGATGGAGGTGAGAGTGAGAGAAGGGTCATCCCAGATTACCTTAGACCTTGTGCAGTTTCGTAGGGGAAGGTGGACCCAAACTGTTTAGGGCTTTGTAGGTAATAACGAGGAATAGGGCCTTCTCGGTGGTGGCCCCTCGACTCTGGAACTCTCTCCCTAAGGACATCAGGCCGGCCCAGTCACTAGCAATCTTTAGGAGGAGCTTGAAAACGTGGTTGTTCCAGTGTGCCTTTCCAGAATAAGGAAACTCCTAGCATTATGTCTCAACGCACTTTATTAGAGATCCAGGATATCCGCTTGCCCATCCCCCTCCAAACACCCCACTTTGTCATGCCCAGCATTTTTAATTTTAATTATTACATTTGGCCCGGTCATTATTTTTAATTGCATCATTGGATGTTGTTAATGTATTGCTATTCTTTGCTATTGCTTTGTTTTTTGAGTTATTGTGTTGTTGTTGTTGTTGTTGTTTTATTGTTGTATTTGGGCTCGGCCTCTTGTAAGCCGCACCGAGTCCTTCGGGAGGTGGTAGCGGGGTACAAATAAAGGTTTATTATTATTATTATTATTATTATTATTATTATTATTATTATTAATAACCTGCACCTTGAATTGGGACCAGAAACTTATTGGCAGCCAGTGGAGCTATTTTAACAGGGGTGTTGATCACTCCCTGTAATTCGTATATACAATACACACATACAATACAGTAAGCAATGATATACCTAACAAATAACAGGCTTGAGAACTCTGCTATTTCCAACAGTCCCTGCATTTAACACTAACTGCTGCCTCCTTCTCCTCCTCACCTGTTTTTCTTCCTTTCTCTTACTTGCTTCTTCCATCAAGGCTTTTTTGATTTCAAAACCCTCTCTGGCCACTTCCGCCTTCTGCTTAAGTGCCTCACGTTCCTTTCGGCCCATCTCTCTGTGCCAAGACAAAGAAGGTGATTGCTAGAATGTAGCCCAAATGTATCTTCTACTTATAGTATCCACTGGTACACAAAATGAGACCACAGTTATGGAGTGTTTAAGCTGATACCATACTATTGGAAACCTATGGCGTAGCTTGGGCAATGCACCCGAGAATAGTTCCCACATGCAATGCACACAACACATTTATAAATCTATGGAGCAAGCACTATCAGCACCCTGAATGATATTGCTGTTGCGTTTTATGTATTACTAGATGGCCTTAAGACAGCACTTCTTAACCTGGGGGTCAGGACCCCTGGGGGGGGGAGTCATGAGAGGGTGTTAGAAGCGTCACCAAAGACCACCAGAAACACACAGTGTTTTCTGTTGATTATAGGGGTTCTGTGTGGGAAGTTTGGCCCATTTCTATCATTGATGGGGTTCAGAATGCTCTTTGATTGTAAGTGAACTATAAATTCTAGTAACTATAACTCCCAAATGTCAAGGTCTATTTTCCCCAAACTCCATCTGTGCTCATATTTGTGTATATGGAGTATCTGTTCCAAGTTTTGTCTAGATCCTTCATTGTTTGAGTCCACAGTGCTCTCTGATTGTAGGTAAACTACAACTCCAAGGTCAATGCCCACCAAACCCTTCTAGCATTTTCTGTGGGTCATGGGAGTTCTGTGTGCCAAGTTTGATTCAATTCCATCACTGGTGGAGTTCAGAATGCTCTTTGATTGTGGGTGAACTATAAATCCCAGTAACTACAACTCCCAAATGACAAACTCAATTTTTTTAATGATGATCACTCCTTGGGTTAGTAGGTGTCTTGTGGCCAAATTTGGTGGCAATTCGTCCAGTGGTTTTTTGAGTTATGTTAATCCCACAAATGAACATTACATTTTTATTTATATCGATTGTTACTATTCAAACACATTATAAAAAGAAACTATAGCAAAATACTGTCGATACATCTCAGAAAGCTAAAAGCAGCAGTGAACATAATGCAGGGAAATAATAACATAGATTGGGTGGTTATAGGTTTTTTTGGGCTATATGGCCATGGTCTAGAAGCATTCTCTCCTGACGTTTCGCCTGCATCTATGGCAAGCATCCTCAGAGGTAGTGAGGTCTGTTGGAACTAGGAAAAAGGGTTTATATATATGTGGAATGCCCAGGGTGGGACAAAGGACTCTTGTCTGCTGGAGCTAGGTGTGAATATTTCAACTGACCACCTTGATTATCATATAATGGCCTGACAGTGCCTAGAGCAAACTTTTGTTGAGAGGTGATTAAATTTGTTGACAGGTGATTAGAAATAACATAGATTTCTTTAATATACTCTCTATTCCTGCAAACCAACATGAGTTTTTCTCTTTTGGTCTGTAAAAAGAAAACACACTTTTTACAAAACATCTGGGGATTTTTTCTTTCTGAGATGTTCATGCATGTATTCTTTAAATTTGATTTTAATTGGCAGTACTGTATCATGTTTGTATATATGTATGACAATTGTGTTTAGAAAAGTTATGGATACAATCTAATGGCCTGCAAAAGCAGATAATAACTCACAAAGAAATTAGGGAGAAAGGATTTAGGGGAGGGTAGAAAGTAGACTTCTGGGTTATCTGAAGTAGAATCTGATTCCCCAGCAAATGAAAAGCCTGCCCTACCCCCCAAATTAGGCTACTAAAACAAAGCACGTGAGAAGCTGGAGTGGAAGTGGGTTTGCAGGTAAAAGAAAGAAGGACTTAGTCATGGAACAGAGAATAAGTTTTCAAAGTAACATTTGTAGATGAAGTACTGTTCCTTAGTTCCAAGCACATAACTAAGGACCTTTTTTTTTCTTTTTAGAGGTAACTGGCCAATCTTAGAGGTCTCGCAAAACCCACATCCTTCTCAGTCCTGACTTAAAAAGTAACTCAGCTCTATAACCAACTATTGTGCAATATTGCAAAGTGAATTGCCAAGTTGAGTTTATTTATTCACTTAAATATTTTACCCTATTATTTTATTATGAGCGCTCAGCAAGGTAAAGTGATAAGAACAATTTAAACAATTCCAGATTGAAATCCAATGAGTAATTCAAACAATATAAATATATATTGAACACCCTATAATAGGCATCACATGTAGATGAGACATGTCCAAAAAGGCCAAAGGCTCTGACTTACTTGCAGGTGTTTTCACACACAATGCCACTGTTGTATTCATCTGTTGCATCACAGCAGTCTGAAGGGGAGATGACAAGAGAGCTATTAACACCTATCCACTTGGGTTTGGCTTCCCACTGCCAGAGCACCACAAGCTAGCAAAACCTACCACAAATCCCATCATTGATACGAGAGGAGGGAATGTATTGAGGGCGATAACCGGCATTGGAGCAGTGGAAACGGCCATTTGGGCATGCTGCCGTCCCTGGACAGAGAAGAAAGCGTGCAAGAAACAGTTATAGGTACGTTTAATAAATATGAAAAAGAAAACAAAAAATGTAAAGGAACTTTCCCATGAAAAGCTAAAGCCTTATTCAAAATTAACATAATTCTAAACCACCCTGTATCAAGAAAACTCCCACCTCCCTCCCACATACAGGACATGTGTGTGTGTGATATATATATATACACACACACACACTAGCCATCCCCTGCCACGAGTTGCTGTGGCCTATGTGGGGGTTCTGTGTGGGAGGTTTGGCCCAATTCTATCATTGGTGGGGTTCAGAATTCTCTTAATTGTAGGTGAACTATAAATACCAGCAACTACAACTCCCAAATGTCAAGATTCTATTTTCTCCACACCCCATCAGTGTTCACGTTTGGGCATATTGAGTATTCGTGTAGAGTTTGGTCCAGATTCATCATTGCTTGTGTCCACAGTGATCTCTGGATGTAGGTGAGCTAATTGAATGCAGGCTGTAAATGGAATAACAATCTCCAAACACTTCCATAAGGGAATTTACAAATGCACACGACACCAATGGGATTCTGTTCGTGCTCCCCTCTTTTGGTTCCTTCTTTAAATTCTGGATTAGGGATTATATTTGGATCATATCTCATTTCTGAAAGTCTAATACCATAGTGTTTTATATGTCTACTCAGAACTGACCTTCACTGAGTATAATGGGACACTCCCGGAGGTGAACCTTGTTACACCCTAAAAACATTGTTTGGAGGATGAACAATACTCTCTCACTGGGAGAGACAGAGATCTATTGGGGGCTGGACAATCCTGTGAAATAGTATTTAACAACAGAATTAAGATCTATTGGAGGGCTAAGGTGTGTGAGTGGGGCATCTGAGGGATATGTTCCACTTACCTGGTTCATCTGTGCCATCCTTGCAATCACAATAGTCATCATTGACTCTGTCAAAGGGGATCGTTGCAGAGCCATCTAGGCAAGTGAATGGCTTTGATTCATCATAGAAGTGATGGTCTGAAAATGACAGAGACATTTTGACTCAAGCAAATGCAACATAAATACAGATCTAGAGATTAATGTCAAACAGCACACATGCTGGGTGACCTTAGACTACAATTAATAATTATGCCTTTGCAACTCAGCCCTTGTGAGTTCTATTTCCAGTGATACAGTGGAAATTGGGAAGATGGTATTTATTTATTGATTTATGTATTTATTTACGACATTTATAGGCCATCCTTCTCACCCCGAAGGGGACTCAGAGCGGATTACAAGGTAGCAATCTTTAGGAGGAGCTTGAAAACGTGGTTGTTCCAGTGTGCCTTTCCAGAATAAGGAAATCCTATTATTTTTAATTGCATCATTGGATATTGTTAATGTATTGTTATTCTTTGCTATTGCTTTGTTTTTTGAGTAATTGCATTGCTGTTGCTGTTGTTTTTATTGTTGTATTTGGGCTCGGTCTCTTGTAAGCAGCACCGAGTCCTTCGGGAGATGGTAGCGGGGTACAAACAAAGGTTTTTATTATTATTATTATTATTATTATTATTATTATTAATTACATACACTATATTATATTTTTAGCATAGTACAATATCAGCATTAAACATTGCTATATTGCACCATACCACTATATCATACTATTATTAATAATATTACAATGTAATATAAATATGTAATTATATCATATTATTGTTATTATATATTACAATGTAATATAAATATATAATTATATCATATTATATTATTATTATTATTATTATTATTATTATTATTATTATTATTATTATATAGGAGACCCCGGTGGCGCAGTGGGTTAAGCCCCTGTGCCGGCAGGACTGAAGACCGACAGGTCGCAGGTTCAAATCCAGGGGAGAGGCGGATGGGCTCCCTCTATCGACTCCAGCTCCTCATGCAGGGACATGAGAGAAACCTCCCACAAGGATGATAAAAACATCAAGTCATCTGGGTGTCCCTAGGCAACGTCCTTGCAGATGACCAATTCTCTCACACCAGAAGCGATTTGCAGTTTCTCAAGTCTCTCCTGACACGACAAAAAAATATTATTATTATTATATTGTAGGACCAAATTTTCTCTTGTAACAGCACAATTTGCATCATCCAGTTACTGATCAATGGCAACCTCACTTAGGATAACTGGTAATCAGAAATCTAACAGCATCTGGAGGACTTAAGGTTGCCCAGCCCTGCATGATGTCTAAAAGAACTAAAGGAATCAGGGTGAAGGACAAAAACCAGGCCTTCTTTATGTATGGATTCTGTGCCCAAAGATTCAACTATCCATGGCTGAAAATATTCCTCCACACTGAAGCAAAAAATACAAAAAGCAAACCTTGATATTGCTATTTTATGTAAGAAAACAGCTTTTTAATTTATAATGAAATTGAAAATCTACAGATTTTAGAATCCATGGGGGAGGGGGACTGGAACCAAACCACAGAGGATACTAGGAGTTTGTTGTATTATTCTCCACTATTCCTCTTTTTTCCCAACTTGGCCAGAGGTAAAACTGGTTTGTTTTGGGGGTTTTTGGTCTCACTTTCCAAAAACCTGGTTCCCTGCTAGATTTAAATTCAATAATGTGGCTCAAAACATATTTTCTAAACAAGAAGCTTAAAGTTTACTTTTTTTTATTTTATTTAACCTCTGCTAGTTTCAAATCATATCTTCTGTTTTGAATTTCACAGATAGCTAGTATTTATGGAAATTAAAACTGAATACACTAGGATTTCTTGTTTGGGGCCTTGTGGGCAGAGGGGAAAAAGAGCCCAAGAGCCAAAGCTTTGGCTGGGTACAGGCCCGTAGCCGAGGGGTGGGGGGGTGGGGGCTTGAGGGGCTTCAGCCCCCCCCCCCCGAAATTTTCAGGGTGGTTCGCGAGAAGGCCTTACTGGTACCTGATATTTTTATTCATATCATGATCTGATCACCATGCTCAATATATTCCATACGTATGGGGGTATTGGGATAATGATACAAAAGGTTTGCTAGGGTAGACCCCGAGCCTCCCCTCCGCAACCAAACTCAGCCCCATCCAAATTAAACTCAGCCCTCCCCCCAAATCAAAATCCTGGCTACGGGTCTGGCTGGGTACATTTTGACTCAGGCTTATAGCACTAAATTTTGGCTTGGCATTAGATGGGAGCCAGAGCATTGATCATGATGAGAAACTGTTCAGAGAATAATTAGAAAATGCTTCTCAACATCCCAATTTCTAGAAGTACTACTCAAGTAAAAATTAAAAAATGTTGTAAGAAATACATTGTACCCATCAAGAGTAAATCTCGATGCTTTACCCTTAGTTGTACACCATAACCCATCGCTTATAGCAGGATACAGTGGTAATCTTAATGTCTGGTAGTCACATTTCTTCCTTACATGCCATTTCTCAGCCAGAAATTATTAGAGAGAAAAAACTGCAGAATTTTAGTAGCAAAGCAATGATATGCCCACAACTTGGCAGGTTAACATTTTGCTTCCAGTCACCATGACAATAAGAAAACAAGTATTTACCTCCTGATAGAACAACATGTTACAGAAGGATTTCTAAGCTGCCCACTAGCTTGGTATAATCTGCCAGAAACTCACTTGTTAGGGAGACACCGCGTGGGCGCTTCACTTCCACAGATGAGGCTAGTCCAGATAGCAAGAAAAGAACTAGGGAGAGAAGAAGCATGGTCCACAGGCAAAAGTAGCAACAATTCCTGAGGGAGAGAAAAGGAAAGCAATATAAGAAGAATACTAATTGACCAGACTAGAGTCTTACATAGTCCATTAGTCTGTTGACAAAGTGACAAACAGATGATTCTAAGAAGCACACATATAGCACAACACCTTCCCCATTGTGTCCCTATGATTTTTTTCGTGTCTGGAGCAACTTGAGAAACTGCAAGTTGCTTCTGGTGTGTGAGAGTTGGCCATCTGCAAGGACGTTGCCCAGGGGATGCCCGGATGTTCTGATATTTTACCATCCTTGTGGGAGGCTTCTTGGGAAATGAGAATTTCAATAGAGGCAAGGGATGCTTAGAGATGCTCCACATGGGGAGCCGGAGCTGACAGACAGAGCTCATCCGCGCTCTCCTCAGATTCGAACCTGTGACCTATGGGTCTTCAGTCCTGCCGGCACAAGGGTTTAACCCACTGCGCCACTGGGGGCTCTGTCCCTATGATAAAGCCCTCCCTCCATATTAAAGTAACTTTAGTCTAAAAAAAGAAGTTTGTTTTATCAGGACTGGAAAATCCCTCAAAATTGACCTCCCAAAGCTCTGGTTCTGCAGACTAGATTTTCTCAGCTTCAGATAAAACTAATAAGGAAATGTTGTATTCCTGACATAATATAGAGTAATTGCAATTATTTTGATACTACAATTTTTAAATAATTATTTAGCTATTTTTATCGGCTGGGGGGTGGGTGCAGTGGTGTGACTGTCCATTTTCATTATTAACTATATTATACCAGGCCCGTAGCCGGAGGGTTGTTGTGAAACTAAACTTCCCAATTGGGGGGGCGTGTACTCCAGTGACAGAAGCGTTGAGGGAAGCAAGAGAGTCGTATTGTGCACCTACTCGCCAAAGGCGCAGCGGAAGAGCCAGGTTTTAAGATTCTTTTAAAATGTTTCTAATGTAGGGGCTTTCCTGATCTCTCCAGGTAATGAATTCCAAAGTCGGGGAGCCACAGAGGAGAAGGTTCTCTCCCTTGTGCCCACAAGACGAGCCTGTGAGATTAGCAGGGGTGAAAGGAGGGCCTTCCTCGAAGATCGAAAGGCCCGGGTTGGTTCATGGAGAGAGATACAGTCACGAAGGATTTATTCTACAGCATAGATGCCCTACTTGCTACGTCCAAAGCATGACGGCCTCAGTTTAGCCAATCCCAGGCTTGATTTGCTCACAGAAGCATTGCTCTTTTTTGGCAGTCAACAGCAACAAGTGAGTGCTCCTTCAGCACCACATTTCAAATAATCTGAATCTGCCAGTTTGCTTCTCAGTCCCGCTTTCACAACGGCACACACAGCAATGGAAATACAGGGTGTTTCCAAATTAATTGTGTATTTCAAACCAGTGTATTTCATGACAGAAAAATGTTATAATTAAACAAAAAGTTACAAGTAGTTTAATGAGGTACCAAGTTGTACAATCCATTTTGAGCCAGAAACAAATCTAAAAAATAACTCTGCAAATGGAGATTACCCCATTTATTCAAATCTGATGTTCACCTTTTTATGGCTAAATGGTCTTGCCAAAATTAGTGTGCACATTAGTTTTGCGTCGTACAGTAATCTTAGTGCTGAGCCAAAGCAAAAGAGCCAAAGCTGGAGGTCCTATGTGAGGGATGTCACCTCTAATTTAATTGCCAGGCTCAATGCTGTGCAATCCTTGGATTTGTGGTTTGGTTATTTATTTATCATGTCAGGAGCAAACCAAACAGTTGTATTGCATTTTTAACAAACAAAACACAGAGTTTGCAAGCTTGGTAGTTGATTAAATGTCCTTTGACCAGTAGCTGGCCACTTGGAGTGCCTCTGGTGTTACTATAAGAAGGTCCTCCATTGTGCATGTAGCAGAGCTCAGGTTGCATTGCAGCAGGTGGTCTGTAGTTTGCTCTTCTCCACACTCACATGTCAACTTTATGGCCCCATTTCTTAAGATTGGCTTTGCATCTCATGGTGCCAGAGCGCAGACTGTTCAGCACCTTCCAAGTCGCCCAGTTTTCTGTGTGCCCGGGAGGGTACCAGCCATTGAGGTTCTGGGTTTTAGCCTGCCACTTTTGGACTCTCACTTGCTGAGGTGTTCCAGCGAGTGTCTCTGTAGATCTCAGAAAACTATTTCTTGATTTAAATCATTGACGTGCTGGCTGATACCCAAACAGGGGGTGGGCCGGAGATGTCACTGCCTTGGTCCTTTCACTATTGGCTGCTACTTCCCGGCGGATGTCAGGTGGTGCAATACCGGCTAAGCAGTGTAATTTCTCCAGTGGTGTGGGCGCAGACACCCCGTGATAATGCAGCATGTCTCATTAAGAGCCACATCCACTGTTTTAGCGTGGTGAGATGTGTTCCACACTGGGCATGCATACTCAGCAGCAGAGTAGCATAGCGCAAGGGCAGATGTCTTCACTGTGTCTGGTTGTGATCCCCAGGTTGTGGTTTGGTGAGGCATCAGCATTCTTTTGCAGAGAAGGCTCAAGACATTGTAGACCTATGGCCACCATGATTCCATATCACTGAACCAAGGCAATTAAAGAGGATTTATTCTACAGCAATGGTTCTCAACCTGGGGTCCCCAGATGTTTTTGGCCTTCAACTCCCAGAAATCCTAACAGCTGGTAAACTGACTGGGATTTCTGGGAGTTGTAGGCCAACAACATCTGGGGACCCAAGGTTGAGAACCACTGTTCTACAGCATAGATGCACCCCAAGTTTTTCCTTTCCATTGATGAAAGCTTTGGTGTTCTAAATTACAAAGAGGGCACTTTTTGCTGCTTTGCTGCTGCTTTGCTTACCTACATTACATTCGACAGCAAATATTTTATTGGTTTTACGGTTTTGAAAATTGAAGCTTGCCTTAGACTCAAGGAAATATCTCCTTAGGTCTCACGCTGCAGGGACGCCACCCAGAAAATGGCTGAGGCCAGGGGCTGTGTGTGCTCTGGGGAAAGATATCTAGAAATAAGCAGTTGAAACTCTATGTCCCACCCTTTCAAGAGGTAAGAGTTTCATGCATCACTGATGTGTGGTTGCAAAGTTTCAAATCTTGGTCCAGCTTGTGCAGTGGCCAGTATGGTCCGGACTCTGGAATGCAGTTCTGCCTCTTGACACTGGAGGATCTTATCTAGTCCTTTCACAGTCACCCTTCCAAATCTTTGCTTGCAGACCTAAATAGTGTAGGTGGCAACTTCAGGCATGGGTTAAAATAATGACCTATGCTTATGTATAGAAGTAATATTTAAACTTGAGGTATGCATTAATTTTATGAACATTTCTTTTTTGAAAATCATAGAGAGGAAAGAGTGTAATATCTATATATTTTTATAATGTAATTTAACATAGTTATTGTAGATGTACATAAAACACAGCTTTCCAAATTGTATGACACATTAGCATGTCAGTTGTAGGATGCTGCATGAATGTAACACGAAACCTCTAAGGCTGGATCAACACTGTCCCATAATCCAGATTATCAAAGCAGATAATGTGCCTCATTACCAACAGACCTCACCACCTCTGAGGATGCCTGCCATAGATGCAGGTGAAACGTCAGGAGAGAATGCTATTGTAACATGGCTATGCAGTCCAAAAACTCACAGCAACCCAGTGATTCTGACCATCAAAGCCTTCAACAACATATAGTGTGGTTTTGCTAATCACGCAGATTAATACATACGCAGTTGTTTAATTGAATACACATACATTTCTTAAGTAATTAAACAGAACTACAGATTAAGCAAAAAGTATAGAATCAAGACTATTGTATGTTTTAAATCTATTTTATTGGCCCTGCCCATTGTGTTTGACTTCTGTGTTTCAAACGTTGTGATTTTATATTATTGATGTGTTATTTATAATTGGTTTTGTATTGTATTTTTATTTTTACAATTTACTGCTGTGTTCTGTTATATTGATGTATTGTATTGCTGCACTTGGTCTCATGTAAGCTGCCACGAGTCCTCTTGGGTAGATGGTGGCGGGGTATAAATGAAGATTATTATTATTATTATTATTATTATTATTATTATTATTATTATTATCTGAATATGGACTCTTGATACCCCAGTCCAAAGCAGATAGTGTGGGATGTATTGCCTTGATATTCTGGGTTACATGGCTGTGTGGAATGGCCCTAAATCTCTTCAATATGATCCAGTTCAAAGTAGATAATCTGGATTTTATATGGCAGTGGAGATGGGGCCTCAATGACTGTGTCGTGAGATGCTGCGTGTCATCAACATGAAATGTTTGGAAAGCTTTGCAAATGATTGGAAAGCTGTTTAAGGAGCTCCACTGGCTGCCATTCATTTTCCAGTCCCAATTCAAGGTGCAGGTTCTTACCTACGAAGCCCTGAACGGTTTGGGACCTGCCTACCTGCGTGACTGCATTTCTGTGTACGAACCCACGCGATCTCTTCGATCATCTAGAGAGGCCCTACTCGCGCTCCCACCTCCTTCGCAGGCGCAATTGGTGGGGACGAGGGAGGGGGCCTTCTCGTTGGTGGCCCCCAGACTCTGGAACTCACTTCCCAAGGACATCAGGCACGCCCCAACTCTGGCAGTATTTAGGAGGAGCCTGAAAATGTGGTTGTTCCAGTGTGCCCTCTCAGAATAAGGAAAACTCTCAGCAATATGCCCTCAAAATGCACTTTACCATTGATTTAGGACCGACTGCGCTCCCTCAGTTCTCTTTGAAAACCCTATACCTGTTATATCCTACCTTGTTCATGCCTAGCGTTATTTTTTAAATTTTAAACTATTACATTTGGCCCGTTCATAGGTTTTTAAATGCTTGTGTGTTACTGTTTATTGTTTATGTGATTTATATTAATTGTATTGTATTGATTGTTTTTGTTATTGCTTTTGTTTATTGATGTACTGTGGGCTTGGCCTCATGTAAGCTGCACCGATTCGCTTGGGGAGATTTATTTATTTATTTTATATACCGCTTTTCTCAGCCCTCAGGCGACTCAAAGCGGTGAACAACATCGATGCAAAACATCACGAGACAAGTATATGACAATTAAAAACAATTGTAACATAAATCATTAAACATCCGTATAACAATCATTAGCACCTCAACAGTAAAATCAGAACCCAGTCTCATCATCCATTATTCCGTATTCCTATTCCGGTGGCACAGTGGGTTAAAGCACTGAGCTGCTGAGCTTGTTGACCAAAAGGTTGCAGGTTTGATTCCAGGGAGCGGTGTGAGCTTCCACTGTCAGCCCTAGCTTCTGCCAACCTAGCAGTTCGAAAACATGCAAATGTGAGTAGATCAATAGGTACCGCTCTGGCGGGAAGGTAACGGCACTCCATGCAGTCATGCCGGCCACATGACCTTGGAGGTGTCTATGGACAACGCTGGCTCTTCGGCTTAGAAATGGAGATGAGCACCACACCCCAGAGTCAGACATGACTGGACTTCATGTCAGGGGACTACTTTTACCTTTACCTATGTATTACACTGTTTAATCAAATGCTTGTTCGAACAGCCAGGTCTTCAATTTCCTCCGAAACGCCAGCAGGGAGGGGGGCAATCTGATATCTGCAGGCAGAGTGTTCCACAGCCGAGAGGCCACCACTGAGAAGGCCCTGTCTCTCGTTCCTGCCAAGCGCGCCTGTGATGCAGGCGGGACAGAGAGCAGGGCCTCCCCAGATGATCTTAGTGTCCTAGCCGGTTCATAGGAGGAGATGCGTTCGGAGAGGTAAGTAGGGCCAGAACCGTTTAGGGCTTTATAGGCTAACGCCAGCACTTTGAATTGTGCCCGGTAGCAAACTGGCAGCCAGTGGAGCTGGCACAACAGAGGAGTATTATGCTCCCTGAGTGCCCCTCCTGTTAGCAACCTGGCTGCCGAATGCTGGACCATTTGAAGCTTCCGAGCAGTCTTCAAAGGCAACCCCACGTAGAGAGCATTGCAGTAGTCTATACGGGATGTAACCAGAGCGTGGACTACCGTGGCCAAGTCAGACTTCCCAAGGTACGAGCGCAGCTGGCGCACTAGTTTTAATTGTGCAACGTGTTAGGAGTGACTTGAGAAACTGCAAGTCATTTCTGTTGTGAGAGAATTGGCCGTCTGCAAGGACGTTGCCCAGGGGACGCCGGGATGATTTTTGATGTTTTATCATCCTTGTGGGAGGCTTCTCTCATGTCCCCACATGAGGAGCTGGAGCTGATAGAGGGAGCTCACCTGCCTCTCCCCGGATTCGAACCTACGACCTGTCGGTCTTCAGTCCTGCCGGCACAGGGCTTTAACCTACTGTGCCACCGGGGGCTCCATATTATTATTATTAATTATTATCAATTACTATTAATTATTGTTATTATTGCAGTTAGTATATTGATGTAATTTTCTGTAGTTGTGGCATTTGTTAAGCTTTTTTTGTGAGCCCCTTTTCTTTTTGTATACCCAAAATGTATCTTTGCATGTAGTTAAAACATATATGTTGATACATCAAACTGGAAATGAATGGCCCCCGTGCCGTGCCTCCCCCTCCGGCTCTGGTGGCGGCTTCTGGCCCACTTTCAGCCCGGAAAGGCAGCCCCACTTCCCTCTTCCCGGCTCCCTCTGCCCCCTTTCCACCCCCTCACGGAGCCTTACCCTCAACCGGCCACGGAAACCCGCGTGGAAAACGGTCCGAAGTTCACCCGTCCGACGCCGGAAGCAGACGGCAGGACATCCGCCTCTGAGAGAAAGGAAAAGAGGCGGAGGTTGCTCCTTCCTTCCCGCTTGTGCTTCTCCCGGCGCCATTTTGAGCGAGGCAACAACATGCCACTTCCTCGGGCGGCCATCTTGAGAGTGGCGGAAAATGCTTCTGCTGATTGGCCGCGGCCAATGGGTGTTTTGCATCGCAGCCGGTCGCCATGGAGACGGGCCCAGCTTAAGGATGCTGAGGCGCTGCTGAGCCAGATGCAACCTGGCAGAGAAGGAAAGGAGAAAAAGAGAAGCCTGGCTGAAGCACCAAGGAAGCGATGCAGCAGAGGAACAGACTGTTGTAGAACCTTTTATTTTGTTTATTCCCCCCTATCGATCACAAGCATCCTTTCCCTTGTTAGCAGCACAATTCCTGCAGGGTTGCCAATGGTTTCTGCAGACTAGTGACCTGCCATCAAGTCAGTACAGTGTCGCCCCTCCTCCACCTGCTTCACCTTCTCCAGCTTTTGACTACCTGCCACTACTATGCCTGTGACAGAGGCCCAGCAAGGAATAAAGCCCCCCGTCCATGAGCAGATTGCAGATCTCCAGAAGAAGATACAGCTGCTAGGTAAGGCCTGCTCCAAAGGCGGAGGCCCCTTCCACAGAGGTGTATAAAATCCACATTGTACTGGATTGTATGGTAGTGTGGACTCAGTGCCCTTTCACACAGCCGTACCTTGGGAAGTCTGACTTGGCCACGGTAGTCCACGCTCTGGTTACATCCCGTTTAGACTACTGCAATGCTCTCTACGTGGGGTTGCCTTTGAAGACGGCTCGGAAGCTCCAACTAGTCCAACGCTCGGCAGCCATGATTTTAACAGGAGCGGAGCGCAGGGAGCATACAACCCCCCTGTTGCGCCAACTCCACTGGCTACCGATCTGCTACCGGGCTGAATTCAAAGTGCTGGCGTTGGCCTTTAAAGCCCTAAACGGTTCCGGCCCAAGCTACCTATCCGACCGCATCTCTGCCTATGAACCCACCAGGACTTTGAGATCTTCCGGGGAGACCCTGCTCTCGATCCCGCCTGCTTCTCAAGCTCGGCTGGCGGGGACGAGAGATAGGGCCTTCTCGGTGGTGGCTCCTCGGCTGTGGAACGCCCTTCCTACGGACATTAGACTAGCACCATCTCTAATAGTATTCCGCAAAAAAGTGAAGACCTGGCTGTTTGAGCAGGCGTTCGAATAATTAGTGCAATGATTGGTTAATGAACACTGGAATGGAACAATGGATGACGAATCTGGAACATGTTTTTGATGACGAGACGACAGTGAATGGGTATTGTAGTAACTGTTTATTAATTGTGTAATGTGTTAGGTTGTTAACTGTTTCTATACTGTAGCACTGAATTTTTGCTGTTCGTATTTGTTGTGAACCGCTGTGAGTCGCCTTCGGGCTGAGAACAGCGGTATGTAAGTAAGGTTAATAAATAAATAAATAAATATAACCCAGAATATCACATTTCTTATCTTGGCACAGTTCATAGAGCAGTTGTTCTTTGGCAGCTGACATGCCTTCAATGTTGATTGAGATTATTGTCATGGTTGGTCCTGAAAAGGTCCGTTGGTTGTTTTGCTTGCTTGCTTGCATGCTGCAAGTTGCTTCTGAGGTGAGAGAATCAGCCATCTACAAAGACGTTGCCCAGGGGACGCCCGGATGTCTTGCAATCCTGCGAGGAGGCTTCTCGCATGGAACACCTCAGCAAGCGAGAGTCCAAAAGTGGCAGGCTCAAACCCAGCACCTCAATCCGTGGGTGATACCAAATGAGAGACTCCCCCTGGGCACACAGAAGACTGGGGCGACTTGGAAGGCGCTGAACAGACTGTGCTCTGGCACCACGAGATGCAGAGCCAACCTTAAGAAATGGGGCTACAAAGTGGAATGACATGCGAGTGTGGAGAAGAGCAAACCACTGACCACCTGCTGCAATGCAACCTGATCCCTGCTACATGCACAATGGAGGACCTTCGTGGCAACACCAGAGGCACTCCAAGTGGCCAGATACTGGTCAAAGGACATTTAATCAACTACCAAGTTTGCAAAATTTGTGTTTTTTATCTGCTTGTTTGTTTTGTTCTGTTAGAAATGTAATACAATGGTATGGTTGCTGATGACACAATAAATAAAGCACTTCAACCAATGGCTGATACCAAATGAGAGACTCCCTCCTGGGCACACAGAAGACTGGGCGACGTGGAAGGCGCTGAACAGACTGCGCTCTGGCACCACGAGATGCAGAGCCAATCTTAAGAAATGGGGCTACAAAGTGGAATCCACGACATGCGAGTGTGGAGAAGAGCAAACCATTGACCACCTGCTGCAATGCAACCTGAGCCCTGCTACATGCACAATGGAGGACCTTCTTGCGGCAACACCAGAGGCACTCCAAGTGGCCAGATACTGGTCAAAGGACATTTAATCAACTACCAAGTTTGCAAAATTTGTGTTTTTTTTATCTGCTTGTTTGTTTTGTTCTGTTAGAAATGTAATACAATGGTATGGTTGCTGATGACACGATAAATAATAATAATAATGGCTGATACCAAATGAGAGACTCCCTCCTGGGCACACAGAAGACTGGGCGACTTGGAAGGCGCTGAACAGACTGCGCTCTGGCACCACGAGATGCAGAGCCAATCTTAAGAAATGGGGCTACAAAGTGGAATCCATGACATGCGAGTGTGGAGAAGAGCAAACCATTGACCACATGCTGCAATGCAACCTGAGCCCTGCTACATGCACAATGGAGGAGCTTCTTATAGTAACACCAGAGGCACTCCAAGTGGCCAGATACTGGTCAAAGGACATTTAATCAACTACCAAGTTGGCAAAATTTGTGGGTTTTTTTCTGCTTGTTTGTTTTGTTCTGTTAGAAATGTAATACAATGGTATTGTTGCTGATGACACAATAAATAAATAAATAACCCAGATATCAAGGCAGATAATCCTACAATATTTTTGTATTATTTATTTACAACATTTATATGCCGCCCTTCTCACCGCAAAGGGGACTCAGAGTGGCTTACAAGGTATATATACATACAATACACTATACTATTGGCATAGTACAATACTTAGGCGATCCCTCGTTGGACAAGTAGGATAGTCTTCCAGGATCAGTATTCTTGTGGATCCGTAGATGACTGGGGAGCCCTATTCTTGATCTGCATTTTCTCCCACAGTTGAGCGCATTGGTTTCCAGGTGGAAGGCGGTCTAGGGAAGTAATGCTACCCCTCTATTCCGCTTTGGCTAGACCACACCTGGAATATTGTGTCCAATTCTGGGCACCACAATTGAAGAGAGATATTGACAAGCTGGAATGTGTCCAGAGGAGGGCGACTAAAATGATCAAGGGTCTGGAGAACAAGCCCTATGAAGAGCGGCTTAAGGAGCTGAAGAGAAGACAGAGGAGATATGATAGCCATGTATAAATATGTGAGAGGAAGCCACAGGGAGGAGGGAGCAAGCTTGTTTTCTGCTTCCTTGGAGACTAGAACACGGAACAATGGCTTCAAACTACAAGAGAGGAGATTCCATCTGAACATGAGGAAGAACTTCCTGACTGTGAGAGCCGTTCAGCAGTGGAACTCTCTGCCCCGGAGTGTGGTGGAGGCTCCTTCTTTGGAAGCTTTTAAACAGAGGCTGGATGGCCATCTGTCAGGGGTGATTTGAATGCAATATTCCTGTTTCTTGGCAGGGGTTGGACTGGATGGCCCATGAGGTCTCTTCTAACTCTTTGATTCTATGATTCTATGAAACCTTTTTTCAGCAAACGTTGGCAAGAAAATTACACCAAACTTGGAAACAACTGAATGGCAAAAAACAACAACAGCAAGCTGTCTTCTTGATATGGGTTTTAGACACTACTACCTTTGACCTTCAAGGTCTTTATTTTCTTGAGTGGAAAGAAATTCCTGGAAAATGTAAAAGTTATCTTATTTTCTGCCTCCCCCCTCTCTTTCTATATATATATGTTCCCTAGGTTTTTTTCTTGGGAAGAAGCTATGCTGCTCTTAGTTGTGCTTCTAATTACTGAGAAACAAGAACAAGATTTCAGCACCAAAGTATATCATGTAATATTGCATAGGTTGTTTAGTCACAGTGAGAGTATAATGAACAAAATGGTATCTTCATGGGAGGAAATAAAGGTGATTCAAAATCACTAATTTGCCCACTTCTTGATTAACTTTCTAAACTTTCTAAATATGAAAATAATCAGCTCTTTTCTGCTCATTATAGAAAGCGACCGGAAAGCTTCCTCTGAGAATTCGCAATGGGAGATTAACAAAAATAATGATTTAATTTTAAAGCTGAGGCGGGAGAATAAGAAGATGCACCAGAAGCTTGCAGATGCCTTTGCGGTAAGCCTTGTAACCATATTCTTTGATGACATAGATGAATATGCTTGCAAACAAGGAAAAAAGGAGGAAAAATTTGTAATACCTCCTCTTATCTTAGCCTCAGTTCAATTCCCTAGCATCTTCTGCCCTCAGGTGGGATGACTATAAATGCAGTGATATGTCAAATTTGGGGCTCTAGCAACCCGAAGATCAAAAAACTAGGGATTTGTCTTTCCTTTAATTCAGTTTTGCAGGTTACAGTTTATTTCAAGTTATTTTCAAATATCATTTCTAAAATAACGAAACAAACAAGAATCCAAGAATGTATTTCAGGATTTATTGTACTCAAAATTGTGTCCAAAGCAGTGTAAATATTATAGAAATCATATGTGTCCAAATGATGAATACAATAGCAACAAATCAAGTGCTTGTTATCTAATTGGATGCTTCCACGGGCAGATACAAGAAAAGGTAATATCTCTTTCGACATATCACCCACAATTTTCCAGGAAGCCCTCTGTCCCTATTTGTAGTTATACATTTCTATCATGCCTTTCTCCTGGAGCCCTCGTTGGTGCAATGTGTTAAACCCTTGTGCCGGCAGGACTGAAGACCGACAGGTCGGAGGTTCGAATCCGGGGAGATAGCAGATGAGCTCCCTCTGTCAGCTCTAGCT